CCCGAGTTCCATCACACTCTTAAGTCAAAGGGGGTGAGGGCAGGCTGATTAAGGGAAAAGCAAGCATTTCCCCTCAAAGCACAACTCCATGGTTGGCATCCTCAAAACAAGCTTTGAATCAGTGCATTCCTTTTTCTCCACTGGGTAGCTAGTAATAGGTCACTCTAATCAACTCTTTATTCAACTCTCTATTAGAAGTCACAACCTCCCAAGCTTACCCAGAAAAACTAACTCACCCTCTTGTTTCTCTAAAGCACTGAGGCATGTTTACAACTGCAAACAAGAAAATAGGGTATGAGCCAGAGAAGAGCATCTGAATACAATATCATAAAGATTCAGGCTGGAACTGAAATAGAATTAGAGCATTCTCAAGGTTGATGGGTACTTCTTCACGTTCCATTTGTAGCATGAAAATTGACAATATCATTTAAATAAAATATGTGTTTGCATTTACTTCTGCAAAAACTTCAATTGTTCTCCTCCATCTTTGCAAACTTGGCAAGACTTTAATAGTTTCATTTAAGAGTAACTTACGATTTATAGGTTTTCCTAGTGTTTTAAGGCTCTAATTATACTCCTTTCCTCAAATCTCCCCTAAAGTACACATAATGCTCATCAAATAAAAGTGAAGATGTACTTATATTGATATTTTTCAAATTTTCATATTTAATTCCTTTCATTTTAGGCTACTACCCATACTATCATTATAAGAATTTGCTGTTAAAATATGTTCCAACTAAAGCTTGGTAGGCTTTGAATGCTCGATAAAAATCATTCTCTGAGGCTAATGAAGACAGAAACTCTGCCTGTAACAATATTAAGTTTGTTTTCACTGGTGATTCACAGAAGTGAGCAATCTGTCAGTAATACATTGAGTGAAATTACTTGTCTTGTAGGAATAACTGCTGACAGTCACTTTATCTCAGGGCTGACCCAAACATATCCCTGCTGACAAACAAATTACTATGTCTAACTTTGAAAAGGTAACTAGCTTGTTTTTAATTTTGATTGGTCTTTCAGAATACCCTATACATATACTCAGTCCCATCCTTCATTGTATTTAAAAAAAAGCCACAAAAAGTGTTTTGGGGGGACAGGTGTGAATTAATGAGAAAGAAAAAAAAAAGGAAGGAAAGAAAAACTCCATCATTTGGCACTAAGAAAAAGAACTGTGATTGCTTCTTTCCAAGACCATTATGCAGATAAAACTGGTAAGTGCGTCTACCCAACATTAAGACTGGCAGGGCCGCCAGTGACTGACTGGGTGAGTGAACACATTACTGAGACAGTATTGTAGGAATTAATTTTCTTCAATAAAGTGATTTTTAAGGCTCATATATTTCACAATCTAAACATATGTCACTGTTTCATAAACAAAATAAATGGATTAAAATAATACATTACCAATATGCTGACATGTGGAGATATTTTAATTAGAAATTCTTAAGCTGTGTGATATTTAACTGCTGTATTTGCTAAAGAGAAGCATGCATCATTTAATAAGAAGGCATGAGACAGGTGTATCACTTTGCACGATATGGTAGGGATTGTATTTAACACAAGCTACATCTATGAAGCAACATTACTCCCAATTAAAAACAAAACAAAATAAAATTACTTTTAAGGATCTATCATATTGAAAGTAACCACATATAATTAATTGATACATTAAAACCACTTTTTCATTAAGGAAAAAAAAGAAGTAACTCAGAGCTTAGATTCTGAGATAATATTTCTTCAGAAACAATTTAACATCTTAGCTATTTAAAGGCCATATTTACATGACTGCCTCATTATACTGGTCCCCCTCCCTTAACATTCTTTTTGATGTACTTGAAGGACCAATGCTAACATAGCTGAGGAAAGCAAATGGCAACTGGTCCTGAAATTTATACGGGTAGAGAATTGGAATAAGTAGCAATATAATATATTGTTTACTGTAGCAAGTGCCCTCTGTTCTCTAAAGGTCAAAAGCACTGTAACCTTAGAGTTACAGTTTCTGATTGTTCCCAGGGTTAAATACATTATCAAAATTAATGGTTCAAGCCCCTCAACCTTCAGATATATGAGTATTCATGCCTCCATCTGCTGAACTGTTCAACTAAAAATAGCATTCTTCGGCCTTCTCTCTCCTAATATTGTGCCCCTGAGGCAGAGAAAACCATGCCTTAGATCAGCACAGAGGACCAAAAAAAAAAAAAAAAAAAAAAAAAAAAAAAAAAAAAAAAAAAAAAAAAAAAAAAAAAAAAAAAAAAAGAAAGAAAGAAAAAGAAAAGAAAAGAAAGGAAAAAAAAGAAAAGTCTTTCCTGTATCTTCCTTATTTTAAAGAAAGAAAGAAAACTGTAATATGCTAATGTAAGGAGGGTCTTTCCACTTTAAATACCTTTTTTATACTTGATAAGAAAATTTCAGGCTTTCCGTCTAGAACTATAAATGCTGTTAAAATTTATCCAGGCTCATTAATGTTAAAAGTGACAACCTTCGAAGAACAAATTAGCTGTGACATCAGGTAGAGAGGACCAGTTCTGAGCAATGCAGCCAGATGTATACGAAAGTGGTGAGGTAGGGTGATGGTGGCATGCATATGTTATGGGCTTTTCTTCCTAAGAATCTCTGTTTAGAAATAAAACCAGTTAACATAATTGTAATGCTTCCTTAGTATCAACAGTCTATCATAACCGTGATTGGTAACAGGGTTGTAACATTTTTGCTTGTCAAAGGAAGGGAGAATTAGAAAAGAAAGCAGACTTCAAAATCAATAAAGCAGATACTGTTAAATATTCTCTCTACTTTTGCTTAATATTTAAAATGTTAAATGTCTGGAGTAGCTTAGATATGTGTGTCTACTGTGCTTTTTGTGGGTGTCCCAATAAACATGTGATACTCATACCAGACAAATTTGGGAAACTTGCCTTTTAAACAAGGTCAGCCTTTTCTCACCAGTGTACCATATAAGCAAACAGAGCAGGAGTTTCCTGACATGCAGGGGGGCAGGGGGGAAGGTGCAAAAAATGAAAGCAAAGAAACAGAGTGAGAATAATAAAAAAAAATCCAGAAAACTTTCAAATGGGCAAAGTTGGCAAAGTCTGAGGAGGTCCTGCACGAAGGGGCTCTATTTATCCTAATGAAAGTGACAGGCATATGGCAGAGGTTGTGCTTCTAGATCAGCGTTGCTACAGAACTACATAGATCTGGCACTCATATACATGACATCATAATTTCCAGAAACCCAACAGAAGCCAGATTTGACAGCACCGGGGGTCGGTGATGGTGTCAGGGAGAGAAGTCAATCTAAGTGAAAAATTAGCAAAAGAAGTGATTGGGTAGCAAACTGCTACCAGAAAAAGGCTGCTGGGCTAGATCTCAACACCTCAAGCGAAAATAAAAGTCAAAGGGAGGAAGTCTTGAATTTGAGCCAGGACCACCTGCTTTCACATTCATCCAAGCACTTAAACATTTAACAAACTATCTGTCCTGAGTGGGTAAGCTTGTTAACTGTCATCACACAGAAAGTCTTGTCCCTAATATGCAGTTATCTCTCCATTTTAGCAATCCCACGCCTGGTAGATCTTCAGAATGTCCAGAAATACAGCCCCTTCTCTATAGCCAAAAGAAAGCCTTACAGAAGAAATCCCTTCTTACTCTATAGAAGATAGCAGATACTTTGACAGTATATGCCTGGTCATGTCTGGGTGGGAACCCCCCCATATATTTCTTATATCAAAGTGAAAGGGAAAGAGGAAGGCAGGCCACAAACTTGGGAACTCTTCCTCAGGCTACTTCCAAGGTGGCTTTTGATCTTGTCCTCTTTTTTCTTCTTAGGAGTGAGCCTTCTCTATTATTTTTCAAAAATACAGATTCATAAGCAGCAGAGAAGATAATGCCAAAGGGATACTCTATTTATTATATAGTATTTGATACATATAGACTGCCAGAGCCAATAGGACTTGCATTTATACGTCACTTTGCTAGATGTAATTTTTTTCTTTTCTTTTCTTTTTTTTGAGTTGAGTTTCCCATCCTAGGTTAGAATATAAAATTTAGTATTAGATCTAACCTAGTAAGTTATAGTGTGTTTCAGTCTGAGCCTGTCTCAATTTGTGTGTGTGTGTATGTGTGTGTGTATGCATGTGTGTATGTGCGCGTGTGTGTGCGTTTGCATGTATGTATGTGTGTATGTGTGTGTGTGTGTGTGTGTGTGTGTGATTCAAACAGATAACTGGCAACCCTTCAGTAGCTGATAATCCTGGAGAGAAACTCCAGTGATATAAGAAATCAAGCATGAAATTATAAAGAAGGACTAGACACCTATGGCAGAAAAGGGTTTGGTTTTCAAAATAGCCATAAAAACCATCTTCTCCAGGTGGTAAGAATATCCCACAAAAACAACCAAGAGCTTTATTGGAAGTTAAATATGAAAGGGACACAACAGAAGTCAATGGGGCAAAAAGCAACCAGTCAGGCCCAGACACCCAGCCCTACCTCAGCCAGAGAAAACAAAATTTGGAAACTTGAATTAGACAGAGTCAGAAATCCTAGGTACTAACTCTAACTCCGGGAATATTGTGCAGCCTTGGTCTCTCTGAGCCTCCATTGTTTTGTCTATACAAGCAGAATTATATTTTATCAACTTTGCAGCATGTTATATGGTCAGATGAGATTTTTTAAATGTTTAAGTATTTTTAAACTCTATACTACACTATACTTAAAAGGAACAAAAAAGTAAGGGAAAGGGCAGTGGTTTTGAAGGCACTTGTAAAGAATTTGCCTAAATATATAGCAATAAACAACCTAGGTCATTAGGGGCATTGGTCTGGGCCTTGCCTTTTTCTTTGAAAGAAAAGGAGCAAAAATGAGCCTCCTCAGGAATAAGAAAAAGGGAAAGGTCACATTTCAGTGTTTAGGTTGAGTGTTTGCCACTTAAAAAAAGAAAAATGCCTAGAATATGACTGAACAATCCAGTCCCCCACCCAATGAAGCACCAATGGAAGCATTCATACCTCAATCTGTTTGTGGTTGTAAGAGTGGCCACCACCATGTTCAAAGGTGTCCAAACTCCTGCCAAAACGGTCACTTAGGCCCTTTAGCCTTGGGTTAATTTGTGGGTGGGAGACATGACCCTTCTGTTTAGTAGCATATTCAGAAAAAAAAAAAAAAAAAAAAAAAAAAGACAAAACATACTGTCAGAACTCATGAAACAGAACACATATTTCTAAATCCAGGGTACTGACCACACCAAAGAATAGAAAGTAGAAGGCTTAGGACCCAGACACTCTCTTTCATAGGAACTTTGTTATAGGACCAAGCAATGGTACTGGTTTCATACTTCTGCCTCTGACTCAAGAAGACATTCTATAGCATAGCTATGGGAAAAGGAGAAACAGATTAGGTTTATTACAAGTGAGGTTTCCGTTTAGGTTTTTCTAACTGCAGTTCCAGTGTTAGCAGTGGGGAAGGTAAAGTTTTGGAAGAGAGGTAGGTTGCTGATACTGTTAGGCAAAATTCCTAGCTCTGGTAGGCTGTCCATAATAGGTAACATCAGCAAGGCTTACAGGATGAGGCTTATGACAAAAACTCAGATGACTGCAAAAATTATTTATTTGCAGACCTAATTTAAAATGCTCACAATGATGTTTTCTCATGGTAAAATATTTGCGCATCTCTTATATCCAAGCCATATAGGGAATAGCAAAGAAGAAAAAAAAATGCCTAGCCAGATGCTATTCCTGGTAAGAAAATTCAAAAATAATCAGAGTAAATTAAAAGAATAAAAGACTATCTTTAAACTTTCCACTGTACTGAAATTCAAGTTCTTCACTATCATGTATTTTCTAAATGTTCAAATACTGAAAGTTTAACCATTATTTCAATGATATCATTGTTTGTTTTTGTTAAAATATGTATTCATATTTAAAGTCAACGTCCCATTAAAACGGCAGTGTTAGAAGGATGTAAAGATCACCTGGTCCTGTTGTAAACCCCTCACTTTACTGTGAAGAAGATAAAGTACAAATGTTTTTTTATCCACCTTCCAAAACACTTTCTTCACAAGCTTGGCATATAAGTAAAGAACCCTAATCCAGAACTTGGTCAGATACCATGCCCAGACTTTCAACTTGGCATGAAGATAAAAATGAGAATGAGAGTACACATTTCTAGAGCAGTATGTTTACATATTACCAAATAGTTAAGGTAATTTGATAATAACTCCCTATTCTGTAAGCTACAAGAAGTAAAATACCCAACATTGTTTTCTGCTTTGATGTTTATGTGTAAAAGATAGTCAGGACATAAATGGAGACATGGATGGAAAATTGATAAGGGAAAAGCTGACATATCCAATAGCAACCAGCAATAAAAATTTGTAAAACCATTAACTCACTTGATAGAAAATACATAGTACTAAGTCATAATATCATTTTTCCTTTAAAAATACTGAAATTGGCAGTTTCCTCTCCTATTTTCAGTACAGTAAGTACACAAGGTGTTAATCCTTCTAGGCTATGCTTAAAAATTTTTAACACTCAGGCCATTATTTAGCATACAGCTGGTTAGCAGTTTTCCACTAAGGAACTGGCTTGTATCCCACAGTTTTTTCTTCTGTCACTTACCTGGAGCTGTAAAGGGCTGAGTCCAGAAGTAGCAGCAGCTGCCATTGTTGATGAAATGAACTGTACAGGGTAGTTATCACCTGTCGGAAAGAACAATGCATACAGGTTTAGACAATGCACAGGGAATAGCAGCAGACAAGTACAAACATGGTTCTTGGATTGCCTGAGCTTTACAACATTGCTCTAAGCCCAAACATCTGCAGAAACAAAAGGCTTAGTTGGGCATAGACTTGCAGTGTTGCCTTGGAACTTTTTGTTAACAGATAGCTGGTAGGCAAACTGGCAAAACATGAATGTGATGTTAAAAAAATTAAATGTGCAATTCAAGCATGTTCACTCCATTACAAATCTTGTAATACATCATTTTTTTAAGAGTAAAAAAATATCTTAAAGCCAGGCTGACAGTTCACTGAGAAAGTATTAAGGTTTTTATGTTAGAACAACAAAAAGTTTTGGCTTGGTAGACAAGGCAGAGTATTAGAGTCCAAAAAAGATTATGAGCTATTGACTGTCCATAGCCCCAAATTTTATCTTATAAAAAATAAAAAAAATTTTAAAGATGCAACTTCTTTCATTTGATGGGGTGAGTAGGAAGCTAATCTTATCTGCCAACATTCTATGAAGTGCCTGGTATCGCAAAGAGAGTGGAAACCATATTCTACATGGGATATTTGTACTAAAGGTCTGGTAGAGATTGAACACGGTCCAGCTGAGATCAAGGCTACATCTTAATGTCTTACTCCATACCACTCCTGAGAAGGGCAATAAAATACTTTCTGTGACCTGAGAACACAGACTGTGTGCAGTGACGTGAAGAACCAAGAGAAAGTAATGAAGAATGTATTGTGATAGTGGTAACTGGAGTCAAAATTAATACTTGTGGATAAATTACACAATATCCGTGATTTAATGGAGTATCACTTTGGCTGCAGCTACTTATTTAAAGTCAGTGTTATGTACTATCTCTAGGCTATATTTTAATAGGCTGTTCCTCCACACATTTTTGACATTTGTAATAATCATGCTGTTTTGCATGAACTTTTCCACACCGAAAGCTGAATGTAATAATGAAGAGAGAGTGTAGAAAGAATCACAGTAATAAAGGTAGTCAATTGGAAAGCAATCAAATCTCTTTTTTCTGCATGGACACTGATACCTGGAGCCTTCCTGGCGCTCCCGGTTCCCTGGAACTCATCCTGCTTTCCACATGAAGTGCTACTCAGCTGGCCCAATGTAAATGTTAAGTTGCTTTCACTTTTAACAAATTGTGAGCTTCTAATCTACACAGTCTCTTTGCATCATATCCATAATACCTCATCAGACCATTGAGCACAGTGTGTGCTTGTACACAGTCCAGTAACAATTGGCTTCTGATTGCATATGGAGCACTGCTACAATGCATTCACTCACACTATATTGTGCTGGTCTCCTATGGAGTAATGTTCAAAATATCTGATCTTGTTTTTCCCCTTCCATGAGGCTGATTTTGGTTTGCAGGGCTACATGAGCTTTTTAAAAAGGATAACTAGGCCAAATTATTTTTTATAGTAAATGACTGTCGCTTTATGCTTAAATAATTCTGCTGATCTTCTTGATATTTAAACTAAATTATCTGAAGAAAGAATGTCCTAATTTAAGTCAAATAGTATTTCTTTGGTTGATATCTTATCAGGTTCAAAAAAAATCACAAAACGATACTGAATTAATGATGCTTCAAAAATAGGAGAAAAAAAAATCGCCATTCCAACCATCAACATGGACTGCCTCCCGGAACATTTTAGAGCTGTTCTTTCTTTAAATATCATGCATTATTCATACTAACTCTAAACCACAACCCCCCTCCCTGTAAGTTTAATACCAGTTGCTTTATTTGTACTAAAACATTTTTCATGTCAAACATATTTAAAAAAATCAAACTCTAAAAGAATTCCCTGGGGCACTCCTTTTTTCATAGCTGTCATGCTTCTATGCTATGAAATAGCTGATTTTTTTTTTATAGTTTTTGGCTTGCCAGTTAATTTATTACTATCTCTACCACACCCTGTAGTACTCTCCAGCTCACCTGCTGGCTACAAACAGCTTTCTTTCCACTGCTGACAAGCATATTTTAAAAATGTTCTTAACCTTTCTGCCGGTTTGAATCTGTATATCTGAATATAATCTTTGGAAAGCTATTTCTCCAGAACACATCACGGTATCAATACTAAAAGTAAAAATGAATACATTAGAGCAACAGAGCACATTACAGAGAATGATTAGAAGAAAGAGAAAAAGGGAAAGGCAGGAGAGGGAGAAGATAAGGGGGAGGAAGAGAAGGGGGTTAAAAGTAGCAGAGAAAAAATGTTAAGAGGGAGAGGGATTTAGGGTATTGCAAAGTTTAATTTTTTAATAACAAAGTTATGTGCTTCACCCCCACCCCTTTAATTTTCTCTTTGTAAGAGTCGGTCGAGTAAAAGTTCTCAGTGGCTGACTTGGCAAGGAATCAGTCAACATGTTGTAGCAATTTTTTTCAAATTTGTCTCTGGATTTGAAATGCTTGCATGAGGATCCATTCTTTTTAAATTTGTACAAAGGAAGATGAAGCCTGTTGGAACAGGTTGGCTTTAGGTACTACTGTAATCTGGCCCTTGCCACATCCAGCATAAAAAAGACAACCTCTAAGAGCCAATCTGGCAAATCATGCCCATTCTGTAAATTCATCTTTCCAGCCTTCTAGAATTTGCAACTGACGATTTTCATCTGAAGATTACAGAACAAATAAAACCTATGGAAAATGTGCCTGACATTAGTTTCACTTATCACAATAGGCAACATTCCTTCAGAACCAAACCAGCTCTACAGCAAGAGTCCACGAATGAGAGAAAGTACATTTTTTAAAAAAAATTCAAGGAAAGTGAAATGTAGCCAAAAGTTATTAAAACTTAAACACAGGAGAAGGCAGAACTTATACTAAGAACCTAGGACCCATTAGACTCATGCTATCTCTTGCAAGAATATTCCTAGTTTCTGTAATTCAAATACAGATTTCACTTTTATGAAAGAGTCAAAACTCTCATGGGTAAAATCCTGTCCATTTACTTTGATTCTTCAGAACGACAAGGTCTCCTGGGATATTAACTTCAGAATTAACCTACTGAAGAAATCACTTGGAGAGGTTGGAAGGAGTCGGGAGGAAAAAATACATAACCTAGAAGACAAGATTCAAGGACTCTTCAGTAATTGGCTCAAAGTCTCAAACTTCATTTTCCACCCTCCGATACAGAAGAAAAATACACCACACACCCCTAACTACCTTAAAGATTATTGTGTGGTGGTATCATAGGATAATGGTAAATTATTTGAGTTTCCAAACAACTGATAGGTAGATCCCACTTTTACAAGTTATCCTCATTCTTGCTACAATAGGGAAATATTTCAATCACAGCCACCAGTCCAGACTTGGACATGCCACTTTGCATCTTGACTGGATGTCCATATTCAGAATAGCGAAATATTACAACTCCTCTATATTCTGAAAGAATTCCATCATCAATCTGCATTTATCTCTGTGAGACATCATACTGCAGGAAAAATTAGCAGGTAATGAATGACACAGTTAGAAATCCTAAAAATAAAATGGCACCATCAATTTGTTCTGGACAAAAATTTAAAAAAAAAATGGTATGGGTAACAGTATCTATTGTGGAGATCACCATGCTCTTATTGGTCTTGCTAAATTTCTCCTCTATTCACCAAACAATAGATCAATAATGAGAAAAGTCTTGATCCCAGGGCATTTTCTAAGAACATGTGAATTGTTTTTCATACCTTTAAAGAAGATAAGAATTAAGAATCAATCTTAATTTCTTCACTTATTTTATTGATACATCCAGACTACTGACCAATTATATGAAAATCCATGGAATTTGTCACAATAGCAATTAAATAAGTGAATGCGGATAAACTGATATAAATCCATCTGTTACAAGAAATCAACTTAAAATATCAACTCAAAGTTCATGCCTTAAAATAGTTCACCAACGATACAGCCTCTGTATATAACGGAGGCATAGTTAAAATAATCTTGATCTCCAAAAACTAGGTTAGTTTACGTGGATGTGCATATTTTTTCTTGGACCTCAACACTCTTACTTAAAAATGAAATTACAAGGGCTCCTGGATAGCTCAGTTGGTTAAGCATCCCACTCCCGATTTTGGCTCAGGTTATGATCTCACAGTCATGCAATAGAACCCTGTCTTGGACTCTGCACAAAGCATGGAATATGCTTAAGATTCTCTCTCTCCCTCTGCCCCTCTTCCCTGCCCATGCATGCGCTCTCTCTCTCTCTCTCTCTCTCTCTCTCTCAATAAATAAATAAATAAATAAATAAAAATGAAATTACGGGGTGTCTAGGTGGCTCATTGGGTTAGGCATCCAACTCTTGATTTAGGCTTAGGTCATGTTCTCACAGTTCTTGATATCTAGTTTCCCCTACCACCCTCAGCCATCAGGCTTCAAGAGCTGGGAGTCTGCTTGGGATTCTCTCTCTCCTTGTCTCTCTGCCCCTCCCCCATTCACGCTGGTGAATGCATACTCTCGGAAATAAATAAATACATAGATACATAGATACATGCATAAATAAATAAATACATAAATAAATAAATAAATTACTAATCTGAAGAACCTTGGATACTGCCTTGATTTCAAGTAGATAAATTTAATTAATCAAGTATTCCAGCAATAGTGGTTATATACCTCAGCTTTACATATTCTGGAAGACGTGGAAACACCTAGTAATACAAAATGTCACTTGGATAAATTCATGCATATAAGTCACATATTTTCCACATCAAATAAAGAGTTTGACTTTTCTTAATATCATATCCATTTAAACCATGTCTGCGAGGGTATAAAATATCAAATCAGAGAACTTCAGTCTGAATTCTATCTTCACTAATTTCTAGATGGGAAAGCTTAGAAAAGTTAATCAACTTATTTGACTATTAGTATTTTTTTTCTTTTAAAAAATAGTTATAATGCTACCTACATCTTAGAGTTGTTAAGAAAATTAAATGAGAATACATACATTCATATACACAT